TGCAGCTGCTTGGGGCCCTGGAAGGCCCGCGGGTGGATGCCGTGCGCGCGCAGCTGGTTGCTGTGCAGCAGCAGGTACTCGAGGCTGCGGATGGGGGTCAGCACGTCCGCGTCCACGCTGCGGATGGCGTTCTTCTCCAGGTGCAGCAGCACCAGGCTGCGCGGCAGCCCGGCCGGGACCCGCGACAGGTTGTTGCTGGACAGATCCAGGTACTCCAGGCTGGAGAGCTTCCTGGGGGAGAGGGAATGGGGCAGGTGGCAGGAGCCCACTCTGGTTTCCACCATTTCCCCAGGGGAGGTGGCCGGGAAACTGCCTCTAATTCACCCCCGTTCTTACGGGGGGACCTCAGTCCTCTCCAGGCCCACTGGATTAGCAATGACTTGGGGTAGAAGGCTGTAGCATGGTTTCTGATACATGGAGGCTTATTTGAAGACCAGTTGTTTAAGATCTTTTTTGGGGGGGCTACTTTGGACTCTAAAAAAAAAAAGTAAAATATATTTGCCTTCAACAAGAATGTTTGAGTTTCTATTTTGTACCAAGAAGCCGGCCTCTGCCAGCGCTTCACTATCTCACTGGAACTTTGGCAGCCTTGCCCATACACATCACTTGTTCTTGGGGACAGAAATGTCAGCAGAGGCACAAGCCTCAAAGTTCCTTCTCCAGGGAGCCTGGCCAGGGCAGGTGGGCGGGAGAGGCGTGTGGGAGGGCCTGGCTGGGTGGGCGCCGGGAGGGCCTCCCGGTGCCTGGTCCTGCTGAGGCCCCGGCGGCCCTGGCAGGGGCTTACCAGAAGGTCTCGTTGTCCAGGCCCTCATCAGTCAGGTAGTTGTTCTGCAGGTACAGCTCCCGCAGGTTGCTCAGCTCACTGAAGGCACCTGGTGGGATCTTCTCCAGCTTGTTGTTCTAGGGGAGGGGGAGGGGGGAGGGGAGCATGAGACAGCCAAGGGGCAAACGTGCTCTGAGGGCTCTGAGGGAGTCATGGGGAGTGGGCCCAGGCCCGGAGCACTCTGACAGCCAGGTGCCCAGGCTTCTGCCTGCTTCTCTACAGTGGATGCCATGCCCCTGGCACGTACTAAAGGCCCCACAGCCTTGCCACGTGGGCTCTTCCCCCATCTGGCCCCTGCTCTGAGGGGCCCCATCTGCCCTCTACCTCCTACCTTGAGGTGCAGCTTATAGAGGGCCGGCGGCAGGTGCTTGGGCACATGGCGCAGGAAGTTGCTGGACAGAATAAGGATCTCGACGTTGCTGGAACCGTTGAACATGTTGTCTGGTAGCCCGGCATCTGCCAGCTTGTTGTTGTGCAGGTACACGGACCTGGGGGTGAGGTGCAGGTCCTCACCCACGCAGGCCCCCACTCCACCCCTGGCCACAGTGCCCACTCACCCGGTGGGCCTGCAAACCTTGCTCAGGTGGGGCCTGGGGCCTAGGGCACCTTCCTTCCATCTGAGGAACCTCAGACTCAACCTAATGTAGTCTCCCCCCGGCCCCTCGGTACAGCTCAGGGGACCAAGGACCACCAGCAGTTGCCCCACAAGTTAGTGGCAGAAATAGGGTTTCCTGACTCCCAGTCCATCTTCCCCATACCCTTCAAGCTTCTCAGTCATTGCCCATCACACCCACACAGCTGGCTCTGAGTTCCGTGGGACCTCCTGAAGGTGGGGCGTGCCCCTAACACCTCTTGTCCCTGATGCTCAGCACAGGGCTTAGCTCAGAGGGGGTGATGCCTCATTCATTCAGTAAGTATACAGTGAGTGTCCCCACATGCCAGGAATGTTCTAGACTCTGAAGATATAGCAGTGGACACCACCAACAAGATCCTGCCCTCATGGAGGTTACGTACTAGAGGGCCAGAAGACCAGGACCAAAAGGAATGCACAGAAGATATAGCTCATTCTTGCTGTGTGCCTCTCTTGGGCCTCGGCCTTCTCATCTGCGGGATGGGGCCACACACAGTGACCCTGGCTCCTCAGGGGAATGGACAGAATCGAGTGAGGTGACAGATTCAGGTACAGAAGCAATACCAGGAGTGTCAGTCCACCAGCACCACCCTGCCCTGCTCATTCCTCCCAAGGCTCTGCCCCCAGGGGCTGAGGAAGGAGGGAGGCACCCTTAGCCAGCTCCCACTGCTCCACAGACATCACCCTCCTCCATCTTGCCTCCTCATCCTTTAGGTCTCGGCCTGTGGAGCCCGTGCCCCTGCAGCCCCTGGCGTCTCTCACCACAGCCCTGAGCATGGGCCTCATGTCCACACTGCCCTGCATGGCCCTCCTCCAGGGCCCATCAGGGTCCTCTCTGCCTCAGTCAGGGGAGCAGCCTCTGCTCAGCTCCTCCCTCTCCTCAGCCTGAGCCCAGGGACCCCTCTGACCTCTGACCTCAAGTTTGGCTTCTGGCCAAAGGTGAGCCCGTAGATCTTGGTGAGATAGTTGGCAGCGAAGTCCACACTGATCAGGGTATTTGGCAGGAATCGGGGTGCCAAGGTCAGCTGGAAAGGGAAGAGTGAGGGCAGAAAGGCCGATGGAGGGGAGGCGGTCAGCTCTGGGTCCCACTGCCTGCTGCCATTCAGGCCCCTTCCCTTGTCTCCTCCCAGCAACCACAGCTACCTTTCTACAGTGGAGGCCCGTCTCCTTCCTCTGATAACACTAACACAGGCCCTCCACAGCACCCCACAGCCCCGAGCGTGGCATTCAAAGCTCACCAGCCTGTCCCCTGCCCTGCCTGTCCTGTTCTCTCCCCTCACTGGCCCCCGACACTGGCTGTCCAGCCACAGTGAGCACCCACACTTTCCCAGACACAGCCCACGATGCCCACCCTTCATTCATTCAACAGTAGAACCTGAGTCTACAACATTCCAGGCACGGTTCCAGGAGCTCGCTGGGCACATCTGGGGCAATGAGACAGGGAAGTACCTCTGCCCCCCACCCTGCCCCACCCCAAGCTTACATCCTCATCCTCATGGAGAAGACAATAAACAGGGGATAAAAGTATCTGATAATGATCACTGCTATGCAGGGAATTCTAACGGGCTGAAGACAGAACGACTGGGTTGGGTGCTCAGGGAACAGGTGACAGACCCTTAAGGCATGGCACACTGTAAGTGCCACCTGAGAGGAGGGCTCCCAAGGCAGCAGAGCAGCATGCAAACCCCGCGTGGAGGGTGGGGTTGCAGGGCCCGGGGGCTGGCGAGGAGCAGGAGGGAGAGAGTAGGGCTATGTTAAGAGAAGCAGGGGGAAGCAGGCTTTCATTCTGGGTGGAAGGCAAAGCCACTGGAGGGTTTAAGCAGGGAGGGGGGATGTAGAGGAGAAGCAGGGCACGATTTTTAAAGGTCACTGTGGCTGCTCTGAGGAGAAGGGGCAGCGAAGGAGGAGGCAGGGTTGGCCAGTTGGGAGATAGTGGGGGGGCGGGGGGGTGGCTGCAGTGCTGCTGGACAAGGTGAATGAAGCCCTCAGGCTTTGCACTCAGACTAGCAGTATTGTGGGTGGTTGGAGATGCCCTTTCACAGAGATCGAGTGGACAGGAAGCAGTCCTACTTCCATTAGACCTCTGGGGAGACGTCCAGGGGGAAGAAGGATCTTTGAGGCCCACATGGGAGGAGGGGGAGGGGCTGGAGACTGCACTGGACCAGGAGATTATGGAGAGTTCAGAGAGAAGGGCCAGGACAGAGCTTTGGGCACTCCAGATATATTGAGGCTGAGTGTCTTTGTGCCTTTTCTCATGCTGTCCCTCTACTTCAGGACCCCTGCCTGACCCTTCATGGCCCTTTAAATGCTATCTCCTCCACAAAGCCCTGGAAGTGTACCAGCCCCGCTATCACCCCACCCCCTTGGCTTCTGTCTTTATTAACTGACCACTCTGACACCCCCAGTGAAGGTGTGGGGTATGGGCCATGTCTGAGCAGCAACAGGGACCTGAAGAAGTCCTGGTGAAAGCTCCCTGAACTCAGCCTCTGACTCCAGGGGGTGTGGGCAGCACACCTCCTCCCTGCTGAGGCCCCTCACCTTGTTATTGGCCAGGTACAGGTAATTGAGGTCGGTCAGATGCTCAAACGCCTCCTCGGGGAGCCCTTCAAAGGACAGGCATCGGTCAGAGCCCTGGATGAAGGAGACGCTACAGGGGAGCACACCAGCACCAGCCCCCAAGCCCACCCCACTTGCCAGGACTGGGAAGGGCGCGCCCCGAGGCCAGTGTGGCTCTGCTCTCCAGTCCCAACAGGCCTCCCCAGCCCCTTGCCCACAGGGGTCCAAGCTCAGAGAAGCAGGTGGAAAGTGTCCACTGAGGGATGGGTGCCCCCCGGAAGGTCAGGCCATGGGATGGAGGACCCAGACTAACATTTTCCAAGTCAGGAAGGAGTGCTCCCTGGGGGCAGCCCCACAGGGTCAAAAGCAGGGCATGGTTTCAGCCTCGGAGCCTCCCCACCACCTGCCTGCCCCTGCCCCATGGAGTGTCAGGACTCGCCGTCACTGACTCGCCGCCACTGGGATCCCAGCCAAGCTGGCCCTTCTCCAGGCCCGAGGCTCCCAGACCCTCAGATGCTGGGACTCACCCAATTATCTAACGGGAGGGAACAGTTACGTAAACTGTGCAGCATCCCTCCATGGAAGAGCTGCCGTGAAAAGATGGCCACGGAGAGTTTTAGCAACAGGAGGAATGCGGCTGAGCTAACTGCTGAGTGAAACAAAGCGCTTACCGTCGTTGTACTGCCTACACTCTAAACTCAGCCAGGAGTGAGAAAATGCAAAGAAAAGAGACTGGATTGGATTGTGATGATGGTTGGGCAACTGGATAAATGACTAAGACTCATCAATTTGTACCTTTTAATTGGGTAAATCTTATGGTATACAAATTACACTTCAATAGAACAGCTTTTTTAAAATGGAAAGAAGTATAGCAACATGTCAATAGGGATGAACTCCAAGTGGCAGAACTGACTGGGTTTTTTATTTTCTATTTTATTTTCTTTATTTCCAAAATTTCTATTATAATAAAAATTATTTTCATCAGCAGCAAAAGAATCACTTCTTAAAACTTGAGGACTGTACAACTCTTTGATTCTAAAGTCCTTCTGTGACCTGAAGAGTCCACCACAAAGGTCTTTGAATCCTCTCCCGAGTCCACTCCCAGGTCCCAGACCCTCAGGGGTGGCTTTCAGGCAACATCCGGGACCCACTGCCGCCCAGCCCAGACCTGCTCTTTCCCACACCCAGGGTCCGCAGGGTGGGGCTCTCCCCTGCCTGGTGCCCCACCCCGGCTCTGGGTGACCCCTCACCTCGGGACGTCAGGCGGTTGTTCTGAAGGTTCAGAGTCTCCAGGCGATGCAGCCGGGAGAGCTCCTCCGGGTAGATCTTCTCCAGCTGGTTGTTCTGGGGGTCCGGGGTGGGAGTGGTGAGGAGGCAGCAAGGGGGCCGGGCCCAACCCATCCTCAGCCCCAGTCCCTCTGTTGGGCACCTCTCTTGGGATTCTCCCCCATGGTAGACAGGCTCTGGGTGCAAGAGGCACAGCAGGGACCACAACAAACATGGGGGCCCCACATTCTAGGAGACCACACATGGGTGTCCACAGGAGCTCAGACTTGTCCCACTGGGTGACAGCCCATTCTCCCACAGGCCCACTTTTGGTTTCCTTTCTGGGCTGCATTCCCCACTCCCCTGGCAGCACTTTAAAACCTGGGTGTGGTACCACCTCCTCCAGAAGCCTTCCCGGGTTGGATTGGGAGTTAGAGTAGGAGCCGCCCTGGGCTCACACTAATCCTTCTATCTCCTTCTAGCATCCTCTCTACTTGTTTCGTTTACTGCCTCCCCCACACCTGGGAGGGCCTCGGGCAGGGTGCATCCGAGTCCTCCCTATGTGCCCAGCACCCACACAGGACCAGAGGTGGAGAGCAGGTTTCCAGGAGACATTGTATGAATGGAGGAGTGCGTGAATGAGCCAAAAGTAAGTGCTGTCATCAGCTTGTCCCTTTCCCTCCCACCTCTGCCAGCCCAGGCCCACAGGGCTGTGTGGTGAGCGGGTCACTTTCCCTCACTGGACCTGATCTCCTCTGGAAATGGACGTACAGCCCCTCCCTCCCCCAGGGGTTCCGGGCAGCACAGGGTGAGGGGGTGCCCCAGCACTCCCAGTCCCCATCGGGAACTCCTTGTCCCACTTCCGATATCTCAGCTGGAGAGAACACTCTGTCCTCTGAGCCGCCAGAGCCCTCTATCAGGGTCCACTTTGCTCTTGTTTTCCTGGCCTGCAAGGGTGTCTGAGGGTCAGCTGCTGGGCAGGTCTGAGTCCATTTTCAGACAAGGCCTGACTCTACGTACGGGCCTCAGCCAAGGCTCCTCCCAGAGAAACAAAGCAGGTTATGTCATGTGCTCGGTGACCCAGACAATCAGAGGGGGGACACCTCAACGTGGAGCTAGATCCTGTGTCTGACCTGCCCTAGCACCCCAGGCCTGGGGGTGGGGAGCCAGGAGCACTGGGGGTTCTGGACAAGCAGGGAGCGTGAGTGTGGGCGTTCTGGGATAGGAGCCGTGAGTGTGAGGCAGCCCCTGGTCACCACTGGCGCAGTGCCCATCTCACCTGCAGGGACAGGTGGTTGATATGCTCAGGCAGGTCCCCTGGGAACTCGCGCAGGTCGATACCGCCACAGTCCACGACACCCTCCTGGGAGCAGGCACAATCTCGGGGGCAGTTCATGGTGGCTGGGCCAGGCCCCGGCTCCTCAGGCCTCAGGACCAGCACTGGCTCCTCCTCCACAAATTCGTTCTCTTCAGGGCTCAGGTTGTGGGCGCCGTTTCGGCCAAACACAGGGGCCCTCACTGCGAGCACCAGTCCCAGCTGCAGCTGTGGAGGCAACAGCAGCAGGAGCAGCAGCGCCCTGCTCCGGGCCATGGTGCCTGCAGGAGGGGTTGAGTCAGACCCAGCTGGGAACCAGGGCTGACTTCACCTGTCAGGTACAGCAGGCACAGGGCTAGGGCCACAAACGTCCTCATGGGGCCCTTGGGGCACGAGGCAGAGCCCACTCTGGATCCTGTCCTCAGCACGCATCTGATCTGGTGACTGCTGTTCCCACCCTCACCCCCCAAACCCCCCGTCAGGGCTGCCCTCGGGAGGGATGGGGGTGAAGTGAAGGTCTGCAAAACCTCCCACAGCCCTCACCAGGCCTGGCCCAAAAGAATCTGTACCCTCCTCTACAGAAGGCCCAGGAAGCACTGTGCTGTGCAGGGCTTGGTCTGGGCTTTGCTGAACTCTCCAACAGGCAGTGCTGGGAGGCCTGTCCCCCTGCAGCTGCCACAGGCCACGGTGGGCCCGACCAGCAGGTGCTTCTCAGCTCTTCAGCTGGCCGTTCTAGGATCCTCAGATCTTGGCCTTGCCAGTCTTCCAACTCTCCCACCCACCTGCCCCAAGTATACAAGTCTATTTAGTAGTTCCTCCCTCCAGGCCTTGTTCCTTTTTCCTGGAATGCCCTCCCCTCTCTTATGCAATCAGCAAGCTCTCCAAGAACCAATTCCAGCACTGTGTCCCCTGGGAAGACTCTGAAATGCCCCAAGGCTCTCCATTACTGTGTTTCTCCCTTGGCATGAATTGGGTTGGGTTATGAATACATAATGGTGTCTTTCTCCCACAACAGAGTGAGTCTGGGTGGAAACCCAGGCAGAGCCGGGCACAGAGTAAGCATCGGTGACTGGAGCAGCTGCTGCCTCTAGAACCTCCCAAGTCCCATTCCTGGTGTTGGACCCTCAGCTGCCCTCACCAGGGCCTGCTGTGCTCACAGGACCACTACCACCTGCAGGAGACCACTCCCAGCATGGTCTCCAGGGGCAGCAGGGAGGGGACCTAGAGGATAGCTTCAGGCCATTGAGGAAGATGCTGGTTCCATTGTCCCAACAGCCCATGGGCGGGGCTGGCCCCAGGAGTCCTCTCACTCAGAAAACCTCTCTGGGGTGGGTGATCAGTTGTGAGGGGTGGTAGCTCCTGTACACTGATGGTGGAGTCCCACCCACCCTAGTTCAAGTCACCGTCCTCCACTTCACAGCTCTGACCTCGCTGAACCTCAGCTTCCTCGTCTTACAGTTAATCCACGTGAACTCACAGCTTCTGTGAGGAGCCCATAAGTAACAGCCGCAAAGCACCTGGCATCTCTCAGGTGATGTGCTGCTCTCAGTCTGCAGCGAATACAGACGCAGGTCTGCGGCAAGTATCTGGGCCTGGGGCACTGCTCCTCAGTCTGAGCCCTGAGTAGGGTCTGACGAGATGGCGGGCCTGGGAGGTACACTGGAAGCTTGATGAGGACACGGATGTCTGGTTAAGAAGGTGGGCTCTGGAGCCAGACAGCCGGCTGCAAGCTCAGCCCTGGCTCTTACCAGCTGTGGGGCTTTGGGCGAGTGCTGTCACCCTCTCAACCCCAGCTTACTTACCTGTCCCTGAGCTGGTAACGGGGATGTCCTACGGGGAAGAGTGTGAGATTCAGTGGGATGAGCACACTGCACTCAGTAAGTGCTCAATAAATGTTAGCTCTTCCCACCATGAATATCTGATCTGTGGGCCTTGTTCACGTTTCAGCCACACCATTGCCCACTCCAGAACCCCCTGCTTCTTACCCTTCCCTATTGTGCTTTGTGGTCCAGTTCCAGGCCCACCTCCTCCCAGAAGATTTGAAAGGTGTGAGGAGAGAGAAGAGGGGTGGCAATCAGGCTTGCTTGACCCTATAGGTCCCCACGGCCTAAGCAGACTTGGGCCTCAGCCCTGGCCTGGCAGAGAACCAGGGAGCCCAGCACACACAGAGTCCTGGGCTGCAGCCTGGCCCGATGCCCACCCTACCACGTACTTGCTGCCCCCATCCCCTGACCAAATGGACAATAAATCCTCAGCCAGTCTACAGACCATCATTCCCTTGGCACAGTATAACCCCCAGCAAGCTCAACAGCCTTCAGTCCCTGGGTCCACCAGCATTAATCTGCCTGACTCTGCTCAGAACAGTACTCTGGGAGGGGGAGGGGGACACAGGCTCAGGCCCCAAATCCAATCAGGGCAAAAGGCCAGGGAGAAGGAGGCTCTCCAGGCATCCTGTGCACTCATGGACCAGCTATTTTCCTCCTTCGGTTTTGTCTGTATAGGTCTGTAAACTGTATCTGTAAAAATATGTAATTCATGTTAACATTGTGGGCCATATTGAAAATGTTATCATCACCACTTTATAGATGAGGGCGCTGAGGCCCAGTGGGAGTGGCCAATGTAACACAGCTGTTAAATGGCAAAGCTGAGCTCCCAGCCCAGGTTTTAACCACGATGCTATGGTTAACGCAAAATACAGCTGGGCACTGAGGACCAAGACAGACCACTCAGGGTCGGCTCTGCCCTTAAGAAGCTCACCCTTGCACTCATCCAATGTGGCTGCCACATGTGGCTACTGAGCACTTAAAATGTGACTAGTTTAAACTGAGAGGTGCTCTATGTGTAAAATGTAGTGTACATGGGTTTCAAAGACATAGTACAAAAAATGTAAAATATCTTATTATTATTAATGATCATAAAATAGCTCATTTATCTTTTTTCTTCCTTTTTTGTTTTTTTCCCCTCACTTGATATTTTTAAATTTATTTTTAAAGAGAGAAGAAGGGGGAGAGAGAGAGAGAGAGAGAGAGAGAGATTGATCTGTTGCCTCCCATACATGCCCTGATTGGGAATAAAATCCGAAACCTAGGTATGTGCTCTGACTAGGAATCAAACCTGTGACCTTTTGGTATATGGGATGATGCTCCAACCAACTCAGCCATCCGGCCAGGGCACTCATTTATTTTTTTATTGATGACATAATATTTTGGACCTACTGAGTTAAGTTATTAAAATTAATTTTACCTGTTTCATTTTACTTTTTTACTGCGGCTTCTAGAAAATTGTACATTGCATATGTAGCTTGCATTTGTGGCTCACACTATGTTTCTTTTAGACATTATGTGTTAATCGTGTGGTGAAGGGAAGCTAAAGTCCATGGGAACCCAGAGGAGGCCTAACCCTGCCTGGAGCCAAGAAGACTTCCCAGAAGAAGTGATGGAGACATGAAGGATGCGAGTATTAGGTAAAAGGCAAAGGGTGATCCAAGCAAGCGGTGCACAGGCCCGGGGACAAGAGAGCCCCGGTTATGACCTCTAAAAAGCTCATCGCCTGGGAGAGGCTGGAGACTGGGAGTGATGCAAGTGGACAGTGGCCACAGTCCAGGCGAAGAAGAAGGGACTTGAGAGCCGGGTTAGGGAGAGTGGCCCGTATCTGTGGGGAGAGGAGCGGTTGAAGAGGAGTGTGGTGTAGGCAGGCTATGGATGGGCCGTGTGGAGCTTTCAGAGGCTGTGCAGTGGTGCAGGCAATAGCTGCTAAGCCTGATCTGGGCTCACAGGGAGGTGCTGGGCTGCAGGGGCGGAGAGGGAGCTGGGTCTGGGGGAAAACGACAGACAGTGTTTGAAGAGTGGTAACCCAAGTGCCACTCCTCCTCCTCCCACTTGACCGGTCACCCTAGGTCCTGGGAATCCTGGGCAACTCCAGCTCCACCACCTGGTTTGCTGTGTGGCCTTGGCTGCATCACAGACCCATCAGAGTCTCAGTTTTTGGTGCTGTTGTTCTAAGAATGTTAAGCAACCTAAGTCCCCAGGCCCCTCCTAGGTGCCCCACCGTGTCCGAGCTGTGCGTGGAAGAAGAGAGAACAGACTCCTGCGTGAAGAGTTCCCCTCACACCTCAGGAAACAGCTCACACCTTTGGGAATGCTCTGAGCTCTGTGTGGGCAATGGCAATGGGAACTCCTCATGAGGATGAAGTGAAATGACATGCCCGTCTGGTGCTGGCACTCAGCAGCTGTGGCATCCACACCCGGGGTGATTGCTAGTGTACCTGGGACCCGCTGCCCCGCCACCCCAATTCTCAATGCTCTGAAGGGCCAAGTATGGGATTAAGGCAGGAAGAAGACGGAAGGGGAGGGTAGGTCCCCAAATCAGGAGACAGAGCCTCAACCCCCAGCACCACCTCCTCCTCCACTCAAATTCAGTAAAGACTCGCTGATCCACTGCTCTGCGCTGGGCCTCGAAGAGCTAGCTACAGCTCATCGACTCCCACAGAAACCCCAAGACTAAGAAACTGAGGTGCAAGGGGTGCCCACTGCTGCCGAACCCCAGCAGAGTCCTACTCGAACGCCCCTGATCCGGGAAGCTGCTCCTGCCCGCGTGGCTGGGTTAGGGAGTTCCTCTGGGCTCCCACAGCACCCCTGGCCCACATGGAGTGGGTCTCAGGAAATGTTTGCTGAAGAAAGAAATGAACTTGTGAAAGGCAGAGTTGGGAAAGATCTGAAGCATTATCTGGTCTGATTCCCTCCGTTTACAGGCAAGACCGGGACTAGAACTTGTGTCTTCTGACTCCTGCCAAGAGCCCTGAGCTGGTCTTGACAGCTGAGTACGAGTTCCCCAGGTGGAAAGGGGGGCGGGGGGAAGGCACTCCAGACAGGGCGGAGGGGCTGCGCCAAGGCACGTGTGGGGGTGGGGCGGAGGGCGGTATGCTTAAGGAGGGTCCACAGGATGCAGGTCCAGGTCTCCCAGCGCATCCGCCACTGTGCTAAGGTGTTGGTGATAGGGCGCCATCAAGATTCCAGGCCGGTCATGGTCAGAGCTCTTACGCATGGCTCTGCCAGGCCTAAAGGTGCCACCATCCGTCACCCTAACCAACTCCAGGTAAAGGGACACAGTGCGCTCCCACAAGCTCCCATAAAGGCATGGGAATCTGACATCTAGACTAGAGTACATGGGGCCCTGGGCCTTCAAAGGGGACTAGTCCGCCCAGCCTCACTTTCCCTGGCCTCGAGGGCCGAGGGCCGGCGCGCAGGGTGTGTGGCCCCCGTAGTTGGAGATGCCC